TTGTCGCTAAAAGATTTTATATGAAACACGACGTGATTGTGAACCAATAGGAGAGAGAATGAAGCTAAATTCTGTTGAGAGTGAGCTGCAGTTTTTAACAACATATCATTATCCACCATACTTTGCTGTCCCAGTATATCAGAAATGAAACCCATTTCATAAGAACATCAACAAGGCCCTGCTGGATCAGACCAGTGGTCCATCTAGTCCAGCATCCTGTCTCACACAGTGGCCAACCAGTTCCTCTGGAGGGCCAACAACAGGGCGTAGAGGCCGAGGCTTTCATAAGAACGTAAGAAGACCCCTTCTGGATCAGAGCAGTAGTCCATCTAGCCCAGCAGCCTGTCTCACACAGAGGCCAACCAGTTTTTCCAGATGGCCAACAGCAGGTCATAGAGGCTGAGGCCTTCATGAGAACATAAGACGAGCCCTGCTGGGTCAGACCAGTGGTCCATCTAGTCCGGCATTCTGTCCCACACAGATGCCAGCCAGTTACATAAGAATGCCAGCCTCCTTCCCCTAACATTGCCTCCAGCCTCTGGGATTCAGAGGCTTGGTGCCTCTGAACATGGAGGTTCCCTTTCCGTCACCATGGCTAGTGGCCATTGATAGACTTATCCTCTATAAATCTGTCTAATTCCCTTTTAATTAAAACTTTTTATTCCTGTGGCCATCACTCCATTCTCTGGCAGCAAATTCCACATGCTAATCACTTTCTGTGTAAAGTAGTATTTCCTTCTGTCCATCCTGAACCTACTGCCCATCAGCTTTATTGGATGCCCTTGAGTTCTGGTATTTTGTTTCATTGGATTTCATTGGATTGTTTCATTCAGCCACTGACATCTTGTAAATGCAAATAAATTATCTATCTATCTATCTATCTATCTATCTATCTATCTATCTATCTATCTATCTACCTACCTACCTACCTACCTATCTACCTATCTATCTATCCCCCATCTTACTAAAACCATAGTCCAGTTCTTCTTTCCTGTTCATTTTTAAATATATTGAGGATGACAGTTTCTTGTACGTGGGTTTTTGATTGATAGGTCCCGACACTAGTTGAACTATTTAAAAAAACAACCCAATTTCAAGTATTTTTACTGATTGTCTGTTGCTGATCAGGCATCCTAAAGTCCTGGGATGAATATCTAGCAGTATAATCCAGTATCACTAGAAGGATTATCTGTATATGTGCATAATTATTTAGCACAGATATACAGGAAGGAATGCATATAAATTCCTGTATATGCATCTCTGATGTGGAGAATTGTGTCGGGAGAGGCCGTGCCTCAATGGCAGAGAATCTGCTTTGCATGCAGAAGGTCCCAAGTTCAATCCCCGGCATCTCCAGCTAAACAAAAGGATCCAGCAGTAGATGACGTGAAAGACTTCTGCCTGAGACCTTGGAGAGTTGCTGCCAGTCTGAGTAGACAACACCAAGGATCTGATTCAGTAGAAGGCAGCTTTGTGTGTTCACATTTTATTCGAAGTTGGAGTTGTGGTTCCAGAGGTCATTTGGGGGGGATCGTGGGGGATCGCAGTTCCCCCTGGTGAGGTACGGGGGCGGGGCACATGACGAAGCCCCGCCCCCTGCTTCCGGCCGCCCCGCTTCCGGCCCTCATTCAGCCAGGAGGAGGCAGGAGAAGAGGGAGGGTAAGTTGCTTCCTCCTGGGCCGGGCAGGGGAGCTGCAAGGCCGGCGGCGGCCGGGACCGTTGGGGGTGGGGTGTGTGGCCTTATGACACACTTACGGTGATGTCAGGGGGTGTGCCATATGCTAATGAGTTATGATAATGAGTTCCCCTAGCTCTTTTTCTATGAAACGACCCCTGTGTGGTTCTACCATGCCCACTTGAAATGGAAACACAAAAACCAGTTTATGATGTGGCGGAGGGTGCCTTTAAGTCGCGGTTGACTTAAGGCAACCATGTAAGGTTCCAACTCAAGACAGAGATAAACAGAGGTAGTTTGGCGTTGCCTTGCCTGTGTGTAGAAAACCTGGGCTTCCTCGGTGGTCTCCCGTCCAAGTCTAACCAGGGTCAACCCTGCTTAACTTCCAAGATCTGATAAGACCGGGCCAGCCTGGGCCATCGAGGTTAGGGAGCTTAATGATATAGGGGTGCTTTTACAAATAAGTCAACAAAATTACTGGGCTTGGACAAACCCTTCTGTTAAGTAACAGGGAGGGGCTGTGGCTCAGGGGCAGAGCATCTGCTTGGCATGCAGAAGGTCCCAGGTTCAATCCCCGGCATCTCCCGTTAAAAGGACCAGGCGGTAATTGATGGGAAAGACCTCAGCCTGAGATGCTGGAGAGCTGCTTCCAGCCTGAGTAAACAATCCTGACCTTGATGAACCAAGAGTCTGATTCAGTAGTAGGCAGTTGGGGTTTAGTGAGATATTGGAAAAAATGGTATTTAGCAGAGATAATATAGCCCAGCAGAGCCTGAGTAAAATAATTCAGACTGAGAGTCCATGTGTGATTAAAATAGAAAGTTTTTACTAAATTCTAGCATGGGGAAGGGTAACTGGGATGAAAATAACAACAGAGCTAAATGGGCTACATCCTTACACTACAAAGACAAAACCAGAAGAGAGTTATGGCTTCTCTCTCTTCTTCTTGAGAACACAAAACAAAGAGGGGAAGAGAAGCCATAAAATGGTAATACACCTTGACACTTTAGTCCCAATCAAATCCCTAGATCAGGGAGAAAATTCCCAGGCATTCCTACATCTAAAGAACATTGGTTACATGAGAAACATGTGACTTCCTGTGAGTAACATAAACAAACATTTAACCCCAGATGTACTGTTTTCAACTTGTAATTCATGTGTTCATGTGCCCCTCTGGGTTGTAGATGGAACAAGTGCACTGCTGGACTGAAGGTCACATCAATACCTGAAGCCTGCCTTTTTTTTGGAGACAGATCCTTGGTCTACCAGGGACAGTATTCTGACTGGTAGCAGCTCTCCAGGGTCTCGGGAAGAGGTATTTCACAGCACCTGTTATCTTTAAACTGGAAATGTCAAGGATTGGACTGGGAACAGTCTGTAGGCCCATTGCTGAGCCCGAGCAATTCTTAAAGTCCTCTTTCCAAGATGACTGGTCTTGAGGAAGCCCACCAGCAGAGGAAGAAGAAGAGGAGGAGGAGGAGGAGGAGACTGGATTTATACCCCACCCTTCAGTACCCAAAGGAGTCTCAGAGCAGCTTAGAATCTCCTTTCCCTCCCCCTCCCCACAACAGACACCCTGTGAGGCAGGTGGGGCTGAGAGAGCTCTTTTGAGGACTGCCCTTGAGAGAACAGCTCTGAGAGAACTTGCGAATGACCCAAGCAGGGCCAGCTCGCTCACTAGGCGAACTAGACTTTTGCCTAGAGCGCGGGGCCATCATGGGGGTGCTGGGCCCATGCCCCGCGCACCCTCCCTCCCTCTGTCGCCCGCCGCCATGCTCGTGTGCCTCCTCTGCTGTCCCGGAGCCTACTGGCCGGCCTCCTTCCTTCCCACCACAGCTGCCGCGGCCTGCCCACCCCGTTAAGCACTGAGGCGCCCCAACCCTCCGGCTCCCTGCTGCCTGGCTGACTCACCCCCCCTCCCATACCTCCCTCCAGTACCAATTTCCTCACTTTTAATAATCTGTTCCCTTTATTTAAAAGGCTATTGTTTTCTCCTGCTCCCCCCCATGGTCCAAAGTATAGTCGATGCTTTCTAAGAAAGTAGACTGACTTTTGCAGTGGAGTAAAGGCACCGGTTCAGTCTTTGGGGGTTAATGTATCAAAAAAACGACCCTGGCTACCATTCTGTGAGGCTTCTTTAGGATCCCATTTCCACTGGCGCTCTAGCAGTGCTGGTCGGTCTCTCTCTCTCTCTCTCTCTCTCTCTCTTTCTCCCTGCTTGCTCTCTCTGTCTCATTTGACAGGCAAATTTGCAGACATAGCCCCAGGATAACAACCTCGTTTGACAGTCAATTAACCGTGAATAGTCAAAGCCAAGACAGTTTGCATTACATAAATGGAAAATTAGATTCCCTTTTCTCCCCCCC